AACATGCTCCCAGGATAGAGGGAAAGTACACCAACCCTGAAGCTGGTGTTGCTTCCCCCATCTAGTTCCACACTCTATACACCTTACGCTCTGCCTGGTTTGGGACAGGTAGGGCTCAGGATTTGGCAGTTCTACCTTCACAGATCGTCCCTCCCTCACCTTTGTTATATTGCCCTACCCAAGTGCTACTCCACCCAGTTACATTAAATTTGATGCAGATCGTAGGCTGTATCCAATGTTCTCAGCCCACTAGTGCAAGAACCCTTATGAATGACAGAGTTTAGAGCAACAAAAAAATCCAATACAACAGTTGTGCTAGTGAAAGCTTGTGCAACAGCTGGTCCTTGTTGCGAAACCCATTGCACAACAACCTTTGGACATGTGTCTGTGTTTTTCGCTGTGTAATAAGGCCTTCAACAAGTATGCCACTGTGACTCAGCACAACATTGGATACGGCCTCCTGTTCCTATACTACCATATTTGCGCACATTGACAACAAAGCATCATGGCTACTATGCAGATATTCTTACCAAGGAGTGCCATGGGAACGCCATGAAAAACCTCTCTGATTTGTATGCTGCTATTTTTAGATGTTAAATAACAAGAAATGGTACCATGAGTCCTTTGACCCATGCTGATACATAAATTACATATCTTCACAGGGGCAGTAGATTCCAGTGAACAGCACTCTGTCCACGTGCTGATAAATCTATGTCTGTCCACTGCACATTAGTTGGAACTTCTAAGATGTTACTAAAAAAAATAGGACTTTATATGCGCATTCACAGAAAACCAAATGAAATGGTTAAAACCATAATCAGATAATGTATCCACTTTAAAAGAGCTAATTTATTGTAGTGGGCTCTGTAGATACATTTTCTGCATTCTGGCATTTTAACAAGAGACACAGTACTATTTTCTTTGTTATGACACAATTAGGTTTTTCAGTTGTAATACAGTTACTTAACGAGAATTGTTCTCAGTGACAAGTTCCACTTGACTACAGTAATAAAATTCGTTCAGTTATTTATTCTTATTTACTATAAGGTAAAGCTTGACTCTGAAAAGGGAAGCTGAAATTGCTTGGCTGTCTATGCCGGGCTTTTGCATTGCCATCTCAGTAATTTAATTTGAAGCAAGCCTGAAAGCAAGCACCTTCTTAGAAGTATCTGAAATGCTGTTTGTCAGTCAGCCTGTTCTTGGTGAGTCCATGTTTTTTCCTGTATATAATATGGATAGCACAATGAACTGGCTGTGATGTTTTTCAGCTCTTTCAAATTGCTTTGTGCCAATGCAGTACTAATGGAAACCACAAAAGATGAATCTTGAACTTTACTGATATTCCAAGAGCTGGGGGTTTTTTTTGTACTAACCTCAGTCAAATGACAATAAGTTGTTGACATCACCATCATTATCTTTCATTGTAAAGCTTATGAATGAATGAGAATTCTACACCATGCTATGTGAAGTATTTCTGGATTCAGACAGCTGGGAGAGTGTAGAGAAGCTCATATATGTTCTTGAAGGCAGTAATCAGTTATGGAGCTCCTTTTCTTTGGAGACAAATTCTAAGCCTGCACATCTCTTATAACAGGTGGGAAGGGGTATGTGTTTGAGGACAGCACAACTAGGAGATTGGAGCATTACAGAGCATTCCTATGGTGGGTTGGGGGAAGGAGTCCATGGTAGAGCAGCCACCACTTCTAAACCCTGCTGGACATCTGAGATGGGATGGATTTCATGACTAGACAGGCTTTTACTGGTCTGAGATCCCCCCCAAATATGTGATAGTATGAAAAACCTGTTATTCTCTTTCAGAATTTCTCTTCTGAAAAAAAGCTCTTCACATGCCCTGAAATCCAAGACTGTTCAAGCAACTAGCAAAGTTATTATTGATTTGATTTGCAAGGCTGTGCAATTTTCCCCTTCCCTTTCCCCTTTTTTTGTTTGAGTTTCAAAGGTCTGGAATTTCTCACTAGCTCCCCCATGTGCTTAAGGCCCTTTCCTTGCAATCTCTCCAGCACAAGGGAGACATATTTTTGGTGATTCAGGAAGGAGACACTACCTAGATATATCAGCTCGAGGGAAGGCTCACACTCTGCAGATGAAGTGGTCCTCAGGTGTTGTTCAGAGGAACAGGTGTAGGCTCAGATGAACTTCCAACTCAGCACTAAAACTCAGCACTCCGTTGTTTCTCATGAAAACCTTCACCCTTCACTATTACTGGAAATTAACATGTTGCAAATAAAAAAAGAGTGAGGCAGTAATCCTGTGGCTCCTCAGAGGGCATCTCAGTGGTATATGATGCTTCAAGTTCTCTGAGGAGAGAGAGAGAGAGATCCACTCTCAGAGAGGGAGATCTGACTTGGTGCACCCATGACCTTGCCTTACCAATACTGGAGCTCTAATGTTGGCAGAGGCAAAAAGGAAGCATGTCAGGGTTGGGTTGAGACATGCTAGGGCAAATGTATCTAAAGGATCTATAGTCTTACCAGTCTTAGGCAGTCTACTGACACCCCTCTAAAAAGTGGGAAGGACCATCCCCACCCCAAATAAGAAATGGAATCAATATTGATGAAGGGATAGTACTCTACTGATAGTAGCAAGCTTATCTGCCAATTGGGAAAAGCAAATGACTTTAATGGGCTACATTTCTTTTATTTTTATTCATTTGGTCTATCAAGTCATACCTATAGCTCACCAGGATATCAGGCAGACATCCCTCCTGAGATCCTTTTAACCCAAAGCTGCAGGAAATGCACATGGAATCTTCTGCACCCCTGTGAGTGGGAAAGGCAACTGTTGTGAGTTAATGTGAACAAGGGTTGAACATGGTTTGTATGGTGTGAAATGGATGGAAGTCAATGACTGAAAGAAGAAGGTTTTCACATTTGTTCACATTGTATTTTTCTCTGCATATTCAAGTATTTTATTATTTTTATGAATTCTGTTTTCTTTGCTGAGCATTTGGGATAGGAACCCATTTCAGAAATTACTCCCGCACGTTAATTCAACCAATGCATGCACAGGGAGCAAAGGCATGTTGACTAGCTATGCCCCCCCCCCCGACATCTGCACATACACATGAACATCTGTAGCAAGGAAGCCTTCGCACATACAACTGTAATCACAAAAGATTCCCTCCTACAGATGCTAAGACCTGTATGTGCAGCTGCCAGAGGGCAGGATTTGTCAATGCAGCTTCCGTCGAACATTGATTGTGCTAGGAATATAAGGAAACAATAAGACCCCTCTTTAATGTCTAAAGAATTTAACTGCTCTCTTTCCCCCTTTTCCTCAGTCTGTTGAGAACTTTGCTGGAAGAACAGAAGTGTCGTACAAACCTGATAACAAAACAACATAACAGGGAGTTTAAGGCCATGACAACCTGTATTTTAATGTACTAGGACTCCAGAAAGAATTCTACTTTGCTTTATTGGTTGCAAGCTGTACTAAGCATTCTTTTCTATCCCTGCCTCTTCACTTGTTGACTTTGCTCTCATCCTTAGTCCCTAACAAATACCAGCACTTGTCATTACTCTTTCATACATCTAGAGATTAATACACAAAGGATCTGTCTATGGATGGGAAAATAATGCATTCTCTAGTACTGGCAAAGTCATCGTGCATAAGAATCACCACAACAATGAAGGTAAAATTGCACTTGAAATGGAACAAAAGTAGTTTACACAAAAGAAATCCTTCCATCTATCTCCCTGTAAAAAAAATCTATGGATTAAAAGGTTTCAAGGTTTGGGGCTTTTTTTGCTTAGAAAAAAAATTGTAAGACTGGAGGTTTATAGAATTATACGTGGTGGGGAGAACTCACCCCCCCCCTCAGAAGATTGGAACCTGGGGTCATCCAATGATAAATGGTACAAAATTCAGGACAGATAGAAGGAAGAACTTTGTCATGCAGTGCACAGGTAAAGGATCCACTTCTAGAGGCTGTGGTGAGGACTCCTAACCCTATTCTGATCCAATAGGACTCTTGGTTCTTAAGTGTAAACGGAGAGTTGAATCATCAGTGACACATATATAATTGCACTGCAAGTAAACATAGTGCCCTGTGTCATGCACATCTTAAAATATTAGGAAAAACCAAACCAAAAAAACCAAGCCTCTTCCTATATCAATCAAAGAGCACTCTTGCTAGCTAACCATATTGTCAGAATATAACCCTGGGATGCACTCCTGCTGGGAAATTTTTTCAAAGTAGGTAAAAAGCTGATTAAGAATGCTGGTGAACAAAGGCAAACTTATGTCAATTAACCCCCAGGTGGGACAATCAATTAGTGTCAATCAGGAAGCCCTTACACCACATGAATTAACATAATGAAAAATGGGTCTCAGTCATCCGAAAGGCAAGAAGCATTTATTTCCCATGTTCTTTTGCAATATTACAGAAGTGCCTTTGCTTATTGCAGGGATCAGCCTATCCCTGCAGAGCTTCTCGTTTCAGTTTCCAGTGATGTTTTAATACATAGCAAAGAAGCTTGCTCACATGTTTATTGTATTTTTGGTTTCTCTTAGCTCTAACTCAACATATAATTAATTTCAGGAAATTTCGGTAGCACGTTTTTATTGAAACTAACAGCTTGCAGAGATTGCAGGGGCCCAAAACATTAGAAATGTATGGATAATAGTAACGATACTTTTTCCCATGCACTTGAAATAAAAAGACTTATTATTAGTGTATATTAAAAGCTTCAATCATTCCTAAATAAATTGTGCCATTGAATTCTGTGTAATTTGCTTCTGAGATCGAAGCATGTGTAGGACTGAGGGCTCATCCACACACCCCTTTGCTTTGCATTTCTGGGGCCACTAGAACTACATGGACAACTATATCCCCCTATCAGATATTTTTCTTTCCTCATACATGTGACATTTTTGAATGGCATGCTGGATTTGCCCTGGCGTATTTACTGTGTGACGCCACATAATATCCATGAAACTCATGGCATCATGGTTTGAGACAGAAAATCCATAGCCACTTGAGGGCAAAGGATATTCATTACAGAAAGTGACGCTAAAACATCCATCCACAAACCAGTACAATTGAAGCTGGAAGGGTTAGGGCTGTAGCTTAATGGCAGAGGATATGTTTTGCATACAGAAGGTCTCAGATTTAATTCCTGGCCTCTCCAGGCAAGACTGAGAAAGAAGACCCCAGGGATATAAACCCTAGAGTGCTTCTGCTAGTGTGGTTAGAGGCTATACTGGGGTGGGGAACATTTTTCAGGCCAATGGTCATGTTCTCTTTTAGAAAAAGAAGGTAAATTTTCCATTTGTACAGTAGGCTAGTTTCTACAGCCAATCCTCAATTCAGGCATGCAAGAATCATTGTAAGAGTTCAAGGACACATTCCAGCCAGGCAAAAATATTCAAGGAGCATTTGAAGCAAAGCCAGTGGGGTGGGTGGCCTGGGGAAAAGGGCTCTGGTCTTGGGAGAGTCCCAAGAGAGGACAGGAGGGCTGTACGCAGTCCCCAGGCCTGATGTTCCCCATACTATGGACCAGGGATGGTAAGAAGATAAACCGGGATCTGAAGGTAGATCTCTGGTTGATTTGCAGTAGACCATCTAAGATGTTGGACTCCTAGTTCTTTAACAACAGCCGCAGCAAATAACTCTGTGCCATCTAAATTATATTGCTGAAATGATGGAAGCTGGAGGGGAGAGAGCCAGGAGTGGGTTTGTGTAGGTGCGGAAGGACTGCAAGTTGCATTCAGTTCTGGTACTACAAAAAAGAAAGAAAAGCACATCTCTTAACTCTTAGTGTCTTAGGACTTATCCACACTTAACTTTCCTCTGCTCTTTCCAAGCATGGCTCACACTTTAAAGCTCCATGTCTGAGGGCCTCTCCCTCCCCCCTTTTTTTTCTTCTTCTTCAAAGCTTTTACCACAGAAACCTTCTCTTAAAGCTGAATCAGAGGAAACAGCAATCCACAGAAAATCCAAATTGATGTTTGCTCCGATGGAGCACCAAAGAGTAGGCTTCTGCAGGGAAAGCTCTGGGGCAAAACAAAACAAAATGTTCAGACACTGAGCTTTTAAGTGCAGACTTGTCCCTGGAAAGAGTGAGGCAAAACATAGGTGTGGATAACCCCATATTGTTGCACCAGACTCTACACATTGGTCGAATTGGAGCTTCCACTCCAAAATGTTGTTTTTTGGGTTTTTTGTTTGTTTAACTATCTTTTCCATGAGATTCTATAATAACAGCAAATTCTTATTGTCATGCTAAAGCTCATTGCTGTTCCATTGCGAATATGCTCAGGAGCCAATTTGGGTGCAAAAAAACCATCCTTCTGCACCTTGTAAAGTTTGGTCCTAGTTCTAAAAAGAACCCTGTTTCCCTTGTGAGAAAATCAGTTACTAACCTTTCCAGCATCACCTTGTGCATTTAATAAGGTCTAGAAATGGGGACAGTTTAAAAATTGGGACACTTCGTTATAATACTAGCAAATAACCCAGTACAGAGTAAACAATCTGTACAAGTGAATAGAGGAGCTTGGGAGTTCCATTCATATTCTTCAATAATCCTCAGGGTGCAGGCGGAGAGTTTTCCAGTGCTGTCCCAGAATGGATATACCGTTGCAGACCTTGTTTATCAAAACTGCTCATTACCAAAAAATGTTTTGTAAGATTTCTGGGCCAGTTACATAAATAACATTGTTCTTGTCATAGTCCATTCTTTATCACACATATCTTTGGAGGTTGGTGACAACTGTGACCTTTCAGGCTAGTGTATATTCCATTGCTTCGATTAATGCACTTGCTTCTGGCTCCTGCTGAGAAGTTCTGAAAGGTGCACAAATTCTCCTCGGCGTAATGAACTTCAGCTTGTTCCACACAAAGACCATTTCATTTTCATTTTTAGATGGTGCTTTCTTTTCTGCAGTGAGCTTGCTTCAGACAACAAAAAGAGAAAAGGATCAGAGTGGTACTCCAGAGACAATGCTTCCTGTTCTTCTGTGACAATAGATAAACAGCATTGCCCAAGCATAGAATGCGTTGTGAATTCCCCTCTGCTTTGTCTCAGTCCATTGTAAAAAATAATATGCACAGTGAGAAGAGGCATACAAGTCCAAGGCTTGCAGTTCTGCCCCAGTGTGTATGAAATGCAGCAGTGCTATTTTTCTTCAACGAAGAGGTGCCGGAACTCACCATGAATGCCTCCCTTGTTCTCTTATAATGGCAATGGAACCCACCTGAGAAGTGTCGGAACTGAGTTCCAGTGGGTTCTGGCTGGGGGGGGGGAGCCCTGTATTCTGGTATGGTGGATGAACTGGTCTTGCCATCCATTGTGACATGTGAGCTAGGCTGCTGCTACTACACCGTTTTCCTAGATGCAGCAGCACTGTCATGGAATGTGCCCAGGATGGGGCATGGCAGTGATAGTGTTGGAGTACCAGATTAGCGGTAGCAATGAATGCAGAATCCACATAGCAGCAGCACCTTACTCCATGTGCTGTGCCTGCCTGTCATGTCTTCATATGCTGTGGAAATGGTGGAGTATATATGTATATATACGTTAGGAAGGCGAACCACGCTTTTTCAATATTTCCTTTGACAATCTAAGGGCTCTTTGGGATTGTAAGGGAACTTCTGTTCAATTTAATTGTTTTCTTTGTACACATGTGCTCATGCCTACGCAAATTATTAGCATATATACTACATCAAATTATTAGCACATTCACTAATCACCAGACTATTTTAATTATTTAGTCCTTTATTAATTAATTAGCCCCAGCTCTCTTTTTTAGCACAATTTATAATACTGCAAAATTGAGGTTTTTACAGGAGAGGCCTAATGGACTAGGGAGACTGCTTAAAGTTGGTTAGATGGGCTGTGTCTGGTCAGGCACATTAGTTGGCTAAGTCAACTACAGGTGATGTGTTGTCATGGAAATGGAATGCTTAGACAATTGCTTCATTCTGGATAAAGGGTTGTTTTGGGAATGGGGGGGGACAACTGGAGAAAAGGGAAGAACTCCCCACTAGGGAAGAGATCATCCAAAGTCTTTGTGTGAAGAGAAGCAGTGAGAGACAGAGAGCTGTGTCTATAAACATCTTGTATTGTTTCTCTCTGTCTCTCTGGAGATCTGACGTGGAAGCAGTGGGCTTTGTTGTCTATTGGAGTGTTTAAGCTGTTCTTCCACCTATGCTGACCCTGTGTATTTGTAAATAAACATATAGTTAAATGCCATTAAGCCTCCAGGGATCACCTTCCAAAGGAAATCAACCCTGGGTCAGCATTGTACCCAGTGGAACCTCTCACCAGTCAGAGAAGTGAGCAGAGCGTAACAATAGCAAAATTCTCTTGAGACTTTCTGTATCTCATGTGCTTAGATTCAAGGACAGAATGGAGAGTATTTTCACACAGTACTTGGTATAGTTAAAATGATTATAAGCAGCATAATGGTCTTTTTCATAAAATGGGGAATTATTCATTCAAACGTTAAAATGGAAGGAACTTTCATGCAATAGTAGGTGAGTGAGTCAAGGTTGAGGAGAAGGAATGTCATCCTTTAGACTGACAGAATAACAGAGCAATACCACTCCCACCCCTGACACCAGGCTACAAGAAGAAGAAGAGTTAGGATTTGATATCCCACTTTATTACTACCCTAAGGAGTCTCAAAGTGGCTAACAATCTCCTTTCCCTTCCTCCCCCACAACAAACACTCTGTGAGGTGAGTGAGGCTGAGAGACTTCAGAGAAGTGTGACTAGCCCAAGGTCACCCAGCAGCTCCATGTGGAGGAGCGGAGACACGAACCCGGTTCACCAGATTACGAGTCCACCGCTCTTAACCACTACACCACACTGGCTCACTGGATCTCAAGGTGTATGTGTATGTGTTGTGCTGAGATGCCCTTCCAGCCAGGGCTGCCAAAGCTAGCCTCCTGCCAACTGTAGAGTGACGCAAGCATGTGAGAGTCCTGTTGGCAGGATGGCAGCCATTGCTAGCCAGTGGAAGGCCCACAAATGGACTATTCCAAAGGTGGAATGCAATCCATTGGATCCCAAGCTAGTCAACAGTGAGATGCCACATGATGGCATTGGGCCAGATATGGGTCAGGTCCCTATACCAGCTCCAGGTTGGCAGAGCATTCTTATTCTCCCCTCCCACAACCACTACCACCTTTAATGTCAGCCACTGTGAGCAGCAGGGTAGCGGATGCGTGTGTGTTCATACAGGGAGCATTTTACCCCCTGAGGATACGTGATAGAGAACAAACTCCAATGAAAACAGTGGGGCTTACTTGTTGCCTGTAAACATGAATATTATAGTGCTATCAGACTAGAGATGTTGCTGCATCTAAGCCAGGGGCCGGCAAGGTTTACCTTGCCTGGGCCAGTTCATTCCAGCGGCGATCCCTCCGTGGGCCAGATTATGCGCACACATGAGCGCATGCAGCCGTGATTGCCAGCGTCAGTGTCTGCACAGATGCGATTTCCGGCATCGGCGCATACACAGACGCAATTCCCAGCACCATGGAAGCGAGTCCCTGTGCCGCGCCAGTTTAGCGCAACGCGTGGGGACTTGCTGAGTGGGCGGCTCGGTGCGGGGGTGGCTCGTGGGCTGGTTAAATAACCCCCATGGGCCGCTTGTGGCCCATGGGCCTTAGGTTGCCTACCCCTGATCTAAGCTCTCTAATACGGCTAAATAATTGCTCTCCCACGTCAACTGAAAGTAGAATTAAAACAAAGCACTTAATAAATGTTCAATGCTCTGAAGCAGTATGTTGTTTTACTTATTTCTAATTTTCTGTTTTGACTCGATTTTAGTGATTTTTTTCAGGCTTTACTATTTATTAACTTATTGTATGCTGGTCTGCATTATTAAAAGAGAAAAGCAAAGTGGTAGATTGGAAAACAGCTACCGTACTAACTGGAGGTTTTCTAGCATACAAAATAGTTCTTGATAATTATTGCACCACCTATAAGCCACATTTTGTGCTTGTGGTTGGCAGGAGCTCTCAACACCCTCTGAATAAGGCCTTTCCCCATCTTCTAGGATTCATGGTTGCCGAAGAACCGTCTACTTTAGCCAAGACAACGTGCTGCACCTCATAGGAGCTTGCGTCATTTCTGTCCTTAATAGAGAGGCTAATTAGTACATTGCAATGCTCCCAAGTTTTCTCATTTACAACAGCCAGCAGCCATTATTTAAAAAGTTTCTTCCAAATGCTGCCATGAGACTGGGATGAATCTCCTAGCCAGTGCTTTTTGGATCTTACAATGAACGATAGCCAGAGGCAAACATCTCTGCATAACACGGCAAATCAATGTGCAAGTAACAGCATGTATGGGAGAACGCATGTGTGAAGAAAAATTTAAATATCTTCACAGGTTTTTCTCATATATATGAAGTGGATTTTGTGGAACAACAGGAAAAGTTGGGGAGCTTAGCAGTCCGCTCCTCTGACTGAATGTTATAGGAAAGTCATAATTATGAGGCATATTAAATAGAACGTAACCATGCTGCCTCAGCAGATCTGTGTGTATAAAATGAAAGGATAATTAACAAATAGCAAATAGGATAATTAAAATGATCTTGAGTTCTTTTCACTCACCACAAAAGGTTTTCCACCAGATGCTCTAATTTTATATTAATTCTTTGTTTCCACTGCTGTCCTGAATTGCATAGATGGCAAGCACAAAAACTTTAGAGGGAGGAATTATTCTAGCATCTGTTAGGTCCCTTGGGAAGTAGCAACTTTCTAATTATGTGGCCATATTTTAGTCAATGAATGTTGGTAAACACTAAGGCTGCAATCCTTTGCACAGCTCGGCTCTCTGAATGCTATCAGTTTCAGAGGGATGTAAGCGGCTGAACTGCTTGTGGGATTGCAGCCTAATTGTTTTGCTATAACTATTAAATTCTGCATTGTGGGGGATGCCACTCTGCATGCTTCAACTCTTGGAGCCTGATGGAAAGGAGCACTTGCCCTTTGGTGCTGGATGCTACCATTGACTAGTGTCAGTAAGCCAAGACAAGTGATGCTGAATGAAGCATGTGGCTTCACAACAAACTCTTAAGCCTTTCCCAGGAAGCTGGGGGTGACTGTGCTTGCAACCCTGCATATTGTTAGGTCATTTAAACGTGACAGACTTGGAATATGGCTTCACTGCTCAGACTTCAATGGGGTTTCATTAGCTAATCTGTATAAATGCTTGCCACCTATCATCCTGCCCAAGTACAGTTCCATGGTATATATATAAACCTATTTCAGCCATGGTATTAGTTAGCAAATTTGTGCATACTGCATGCCACTCTTTCAACTCCTTGTTTTTTCCATGGTGTTACTACAATGGGAGTGTTAAAGGAGCTAAATATTCTGTGCGTTTTATATGTACTATGAGCTTTGCCCAAGTTTTGGCCCAGACTGCAGATGCACAAAAAACAGGCAGTGACTGATGAAATCAGCATCCGAAGAATCTTTGCTTTCTTAAAGCATGTTCCTTTGTAGCCCTTTTAGCTGCTGAGAACAACTTAGGTGAAATCACAGAAGCCTGAGGAGTAGATGTATACATTTTCTGCTGATCAGGAAGTAGGCTGCTATTTGCTCCACATGACCAGTAGAAGAAAATATAATTATGAAAAAAATTAAAATCTCGACATTTCCATTGGCAGGGTTGTTCCCTAGCAGCGGCAGAGTAACCCTCTCCAGCACCTGGGGCGGGACGCCATGGGGCGGGGCAAACTGCCCAATGACGCACATGTGATGTCTGCACAGACTGCACATGTGCGGCATCCTGTACTGAGTGCGCACGCACGGTGACCATACGGGCTGGCGCACATGCACACTCCATACGGGATGCTGCGCATGCGCACTCCATACGGGATGCCACACATGCACAGCCCATACGGACAGCGTGTGAGAGTGGCAGCCTGTACGGACGCTGCACGAGCGGCACCCATACTGACTGCGCGCACCCTCAGCCGCTCTACAAGTGGGGGGAGGCAGGGGCCATCTTGTCACCCCCCCGAGTGGCACCCGGTGTGCACCACCTCCTCCGGCCCCCACTTCGTATGCCCCTGTTCCCTAGTGCACCAACCTCCAAGTCTTAGTGTAGCCCTGGTGCTTGGAACCATCCCCAAATCCACACAAATGTGAACACTTCTGCATTGGCTCCTGAACTTCCTGCCTCAAGCAGGACCTCAAGTATCTCTGGCAAAGCAGCACTGTAGTGGTCAACAGCCTGCTACTTGATAAGGAAATTCAAGACAACTGTGAAATAGCTTTCCTGGTGATGAATGACCCTTTAGAGGATTTCCTTGGCAGGGACAGTGTAATATGGCTGTGCCCCATTTTCCAGGGTTCAGGTTGCACGTGAACTATGGTGGCCCTTGACACAATGTCTGCTGCACCCCAGCTAAAATGGATTTATAGGAGCCAATTGCCAGTATCTTTTGTACCCTGCACTAGCAAATGTTTACAACTGACATTTGGATTGCTTACCCTCCTTTCCCCCTCTTTTTCTGGTTAAAAAAAAGAGGGGGGGAACAGTTGCTCAGTTTGACACCCTGGACTAATAGCCTGCTCTAAAGTTCATTCCCAGAGGATCTCCAAAATAATTGAAAAGGTAAAACTTACCACATAAAATTGAATATTGGCTCAAGACACTTTGGCAGTCCCTGCACTGTTCTCTTTGCAAGAAATACAGGTTTTCTGGTTCATCAACCAAAGCTAAGTTACAGAAGAAGCTATTTCAGTTGTGGCTGCCACTATGTCCAGGATTTCTCTTACTAGACCACTCTTTCTTTGCAGTGCAATAACATGAATGATTTCTTCGCTTTCACTAAACTCTTTGTGCCTTCACTCCTTTCCTTCACCACGTCCAATTCCAACCTTCTCTCCCAAAGTCTTCATGTGCACACCCATTACCACAATGCCATTAGAGAAGGAAAACAAGCATCCAGTTGTCATTGAGCTACCCCTCTTCCAAAAAGCTGTGGGGCAGAAGCTTTCTCCGTGCATGATAAGGGAGGCGGTGGAAGGAGACATCCGTTCTGGGCAGGGGGAAGGGAAAACCAGATACACAGAAAGTGTTGTGGCCTCTATAACTGCCCATGCCCACTTGTCTTTTATATCATCTCTCTTGCCTTTTTGTGTCGCGGTAGTCATTCCAGTTGGAGATCTGAGGAAAAGTAAAGAAAAGCTTGTGATTTCTCACAGGTTGTGCTGGAGGGAATGGAATAACAGCTCTTTCCCCATATTGGTATGCTTCGTTGTTTATTGTTTCCTAATCAAAATTAGTACAGTCTCCTGTACAGTCTTGGAATGCTTTCAGTGCAGTGTTAAACATTAGAAGTTGACGCTATTACTCTAGCAACTAATAGACTTGCACTGAGAACAATGACCATGTCTCTGTGTAATTTACTCTGAGGGGGCTCCCATGCCTGTAAATCCACTTTGGTCAAATGGAATAAAAGTTGCAGCTATTTTTAATTCCCCATTATTGTGAATGGGGAGGATATAGAGCTTCATTTTATACAAAGAGGCTTGGGATCCTAATTAAAAATAGAAATGGAGAAAGCACAGAGTGACTCAGCAATAGGTTGGTTTTAAAAAAATATGCTTGGATGCTGTTGACCTGGGTTCTAGGAAACATCAGAATGGGAAGTTATGGACCATTTTCACTTATTCAGGCCCATTCTTTCCCTACCTGAGTTAGTGAATATGCAAAACTAATAGCAAATGTGTAGAAAGTATCAGCAACTAGTTCCCAGTAAACTGCTCCCCCCCCCTTTTTGATGTACTACATTTACTTCTCACGAATATACTAATTGATGCTCAACCATATGTTATTACATTTGCTTCTGTAAAGAAATCCATTTTATTTCCCCCGATGAGCTTTCCTTTATTTCTTTTTTCCCCCCAAAAAAGCACTTTGCTGTTACAGCTAAAGTACTGGAACTTACTAGCTGATTCCACACATAAATAATTTAAAAAAAAAAAAACCCCACACACATTTAAGTCTCTGTGATAAATCCATTTTACTGTGGCCAGTGTAATACAGCTTAAAAAATAAACAAGCTTCATGTTATACGCAACAAACAAAGCTGATCTGGAGTCATTGACAACAGCTAAGCATCTATTTGGCAGTCAGAAGGTTATCTATACCAGGCAAGTAGCCAGATAGCTTGTGCAGAAGAGCTCTAAGGGGCAGTGTAAGGAAGCGAGGAAGGAATCAATAGACAACAAACAGAACATCAACAAAGGTGGCCTAAAATGCTTGAAGCTATTTGCATCAAACAGTAATAAAATGGCATTTAAATATACACAATTTCAGAATAAGCATCTACTGCTTGTCCATTACTCTAACATCTTTGCATTCATTTGCCGCTATACTGGAAGATGGGAGAGGTCTTATGTCTTACTGAGAAACAGGGCACTGAATTGCCTGCATGCTTTTCCGTGTGTGTGTGTGTGTGTGTGTGTGTGTGTGTGTGTGTAAAAGGGCTATTAATTAGAAAGGGAATCAGAATAACCCTGCTGGAGCCATGTCCCCATAGACACCCTGTCACTATCAACCTTTCATAAGCAATCATGACTCTAAATCACATGGGGAGCTTACACATAGAGAGCAGATTCCCTACATCAGGTCTTCCTCTCCGACATGAGGAAGAAAGTGGAAGGACTGAGACAGTAGGAGGTGGGGCCATTCAGTGCACCTTGCTTTCTCCCATCATACAACTGTAATAATTTTAATAAGGCCTATAGAGTTAAAAAGCATCTATTAGAGCAGAGAGGAGTTTAAAATTCTAACCCTATGTAAGTAAGCGACAACATTTTCAGGAAGACTTGGTCCTGGGTGTAAGAACTGCAATCCCAAACATAGCTAACAGGGCTGGCACCTGAGTTTAGCATGGCTAGGCACCTGCTGGGCTCAGAAGATTCCACCACCCACCCTGCTCAACCCAGGGTGATTGGTGCCACCATACACTCCCCTCCTCCTGGTGGAGATGTTTACCCAGTGAGTAGTGGCAGCAGCACTTTTGGATAGCAGGAAGACTCCAAGTCATGATGAGTGGCCACCATCATAAATTTTCCACTGCAAAATTCCTGCTGTCAGATATTGGATTGGGAAGTGGGTGACCATCAACTATGGGTTGATGACAAGTGACAGTCTTCTTCCCATCTGAAAGTGCCACTGAAGCCTGCTGAATAGACACATCCAGGATGAGATGATGAGCAATGAGCACAGTGCTCACCAGGAATCCTGATCATTTGCCCCTTGGCAAACCACCCTCACAATGTGGTGATAATGGGGATGATCCCACCAGCCAGGGCACCTGTCCTTCCAGCTCAACATCCTGCTGGCTTCACTCATTTGTTCAGCATTTGCATCTTCTCTCAAGGGTACCTGCCATCCCTGCCCTCAGGGCTACCTGCATGGATGGAGGGGAGGAGCACATAGCCAAGAGAGGAGAGTTGATTGCATTTCAAAGGGGAAACAGCAGTCAGCTGGGGACCCATTGGCAGCACTATGCTTAGAGCCCATAAAATTCTGGCTCTGAGCACTGGACTTACTTCAATGAGATTTTTTTGCTCTGTTGCATATAGTGGTCACAGCCAGATGGGTGTTTCAACCCAAGCAAGAGATTCAGCAGAAGTCCCAGTTCAAGGCAAGAATTCAGCCTTCAGGCAAGGCAAGCATTTAGGGTTAAGGTAGCACCCTGGACAGCTCTAAGTAGAAATCACACTGAAGCCTCACAAAAGCAATTGTTTTACCAGCAAACATCCCTAGATTCCAATAGGGTTGCAACTCTGTTGGGCGCTTAGCTCTTGTTCTCCTGGAAGAATATTCTTGTAGTTAGTGAGGCCCTGCCTACTTTAGAAGCTGTTGATTCCAATGGCACTGGGAAGATGGGAGTTTCCAGGGTTGGATCCTTGGATTCTGAGGATAGTGGTGATGGTGACAAAATGAGCTCTACGTATACTCTGACTTTTGTGGAAGTGGTGATGATCATGGTCAGTGTTGAGGAGAATCCCTGCCAGTCACCTCCTTGGAATCCATGGCCTCATTCCTTGAACATGAGGTTCAAGGGCCATCCCAGGGCCATGACTTGTTGGCAGTTACAGTTTTTTATGATAGGCTATTATATCAGTTAATACCTACCCCCCGCAAAAAAGCTTCCCTTTTGCATCACTCTAAAAGACAAAAGAGCATTATCGTGAAAGGAGTCCAACAACCCTGAAGGTCAGCTCACAGGTATTTGGGCTGTGTACCTCCCCCAAATCCAATTTGTGGTCCTAATTTGTAAATCCAGATTGGACAAGATTTGGTCCAGTCTCTTTCCAGAAAACCCCGAATCCTGATCACAATCTGGAAACTATGAATCTCTGGAATTGACTTGATTTTGAAACCAAAACAGATATACCTTGGTGTTTTTTCCCACAAAGGGCATTAAATTTGGAGAAACAGTAGTACTTACATATGGGAATAACCAAGAATTTCCAAAGGTAAATGCATGGATTTGCATGGTAGCCACCTTTAAAATTTGATTTTCCCCGAAAAAAGGTGTATTCCCCCCCCTTTAAAATGACTGTGAGTACACTGTCAAGCCAGTTCTCA